AATAAAAAAATGTCGAAGGTCCAATATTTACACATGTTGTTCCATAATGCCGTAAAATATACGTCGTGAAATTTTACCAAAATGCTTTAAAATTCAACTAACGATTTAATTTTTAATTTAGAATTTCAATCGTAAAAGAGTCACGAAAACTCTATTGAAAATACATTTCGCTTCCAAATACAGTATAAATTTTATTCACCTAAAGCCTGTAAAAGTCTGAAATATTACCAAATGTGTTCAACCAACGCTTTTACCGCATCGTTCGAACATACATTGAATTTTTCAGCATCGATTGATCGTTTTTATCGCGCGTAACATAGAGAAGTCATTAAAAACTTAATTGTTTCCGGTATTAGTTACGCTTGTTCCTAGCTACGTACGATAAGAGGAAACGCGCAAACATATTGTATCTAATATAGTGGACAACAAAATTATTAGGTAGATCGGCACAAAGAAGGATACCTGACTGGTTGCATTAAACCTTTTCGCTTGGTTTCGCGTGCTTTATAGAAAATGAATTTTATCTGTTTTATTATCGTTCGTTGCTCTTCAGCGAATGCGCTCGGCTAGACTATTTAAAATTTGCATCAATATTAGCTCATATGCGTCCGTTCTCCTCTGTTCTTCAAATAAAACTTATCCGAGAAAAATACAAAGCGCAGAAATGAATTTTACTCGGACGTTTTTGCGATATTTGCACATTGCAGAGAAGTTTAGTGTCAATATTTTGGCAGCTCCGTTATAGTACAGTTTCTGCTGAACTTTTTAAATTCCGATAAATAAAGACAAAATTTTATTATACACTTGGAAGGTTTTAAAAATTGAAACACGTCTTTATGTTAATTACTATCAAATTTGGGAGATCTTACGATACATCCATTTATTTTTCAGCCAGTTAAATTGTCCAAAAGTCATTTCATCTTTGAAACATAACAGACTGTTGTATTTATCGCACCTACCAAATCTCGCACGAGCATCACATTACCCTCGCGCTACAGATAAAATACCTGATGACTCAAAGGAAAACGAAATTCCCTGCAAGGTTTTATTTTCTATTCGATGAGAATGCTTTTACGAGATGATAAGCGAGCAGAGATCGCGACGATCGAAAGTGCCGATGGTCGTTCCGTGAGAGCTCCGTAAAAGCGCGTTGATAAAGAGATTTTATGATCGCCGCGATATCGTAAAACCATCCGTTGAAGTATATCGGGTAATACAGAGATAAGAAACGCGTGCATAAGTGCGATACGCGATCACGTGACGAGCACGATTATCTTCAATTTAAATTATGACGGTTGTCTTCTTGAAATTAATTAACTCGCTTCGCAAATGTTTTGTGCTACTTCTCCAACTATTCAAATATCTCATACGTATGAAATACAATATTTTAAATTATTAAATCGATGCACTGCCACGATCATGACATAGAACGTTTCATCTAACTTTTTTATTAAATTTGCAAAATTTAGATTACTTTAAAAGCTTCCGATTTCTTTGCCATCGAAACTTCTACCTCTCGACTGAAAGCTCTTTAAGCGTCCATCAACGAGATTAAATTCGGTACCACAACATTTATCGACTCTTCGAAGCGATAGGGCTACGACGAATATTCCGAAACGATGCAAATTGCACGGGTTTCGTCGCAGTACAACCGTTGCAAACTTAACATCATTAACTTAGAATTTCGTTGTAGACGTATGCAGAATGTCCGGGGAGGAAAACGGACGGAAGATATGAAACGACGCCAGCGTAGTATGCGCTTGGGCTATTTTAATGCGTCGCGAGATGATTGATTAAATTTCTGCGAGGCTACGTCGCTGTAATTGAATGCAAGTCCCGAGCTGTTCGGGATTTTTACAACTCGATCGTAGCCTGCCCCTCTAGAGATGCCACGACAATCCTCTGCGAAGATACCGGATCGCAACGAACAACTGAGCGTGCAATTTTCCTGCTACACGTTTGCGTTTCATACTTTTCTTCGATCGTGATTAAACCGCCGATGTTTATGCAAATTTACGTGTTTACGAAAGAAGCGGGGCCAAGGTACCAAATTTAGTCGTAGAAACGAGAATGAGACGATCGTAAAATTACTTCTTACTCGTACCAACAAAATTAAAGTTTAAAAAATCGATTTACTTCACTCATAAATATAAATAGAAAAGAGGTAAACGATAAAATACAAGCCATAGTGGTATGTCCCTGCTGCGAAGTAGAAGGAAGTTTGAATGAATAAAAAATAGGGATTAATTTTTCATGACTTGCCTTCCTTGAGTTTCGTCAAGTTACCAATTTTACCCCCTACTGTCCTGTCTCGAGCCGAACGCAACAGTCATTAGTCCTTTGAGCACACGTTTGGCTTCTTTCGAGCCTCTTTTGTGTCGGTTCTTTTCACTGCGCGTTTACTTTGCGAGGGAAGAAGCAAGGATCCTTAATAAAGAGCATAGCTGCGGGTAACCAAAGTTCAACCACGAATGAAGCGTGTTTTCAAATTACGCATGTAAGATACAGCGAAATAGTTCAAGAGTAGATCGAATAAATTTGAACATAAATTAATTCGAACACGATCCAGCGAAACGTTGAATAATTTACATGTCGAATAAAACTTAGTCACGCGTAATTATACGTTTCGACGGTGTTAATTGGTAATTAAAATTTATGTACACGTAAACAGTTTCAGATACAACAACGACGTTTTAATCGGCATTTTACATTAACGAGATAAATTAATGAAATTGCTATAATTTTATTCGTTTAAACGTGATTTCAACGACGTTTATCAAATTGGTTTGAGAACGTTTCACGATCGCCATAGAACCGTGTCTTGCCCTTTGAGTGAGGTGCGAATGAAAGTTCAAGGAATAATTAAAAAGCGAAGAGTAAAAAGACCGAAGGAAAGCGAAAGCTCGGAAAACGTAAAAGATAGAAAGAACGGATTAAAAGTGGAGATTATTGCATCGCGGTAATGAAACTGCCGTGGTAATTCCGATTTCAATCCGAGTGCACATTAATTAAAACACACACGCTCGTATCAATTCCCAGGAGCAGATTCTACTGTCACTTTATAAATTGCTTCGTCTTTCAACGCGTACATTTTTAACGTATTTTTAACGCGCGTATTTCAACTTTTGCAGTACTCATCCTCTTCGTGTCGCTCTCACCTCTTTTCTATGATTAAAGGTTTTAACGCGAATTATCGTACTTCCGTGAAGTACTATCGTTATTACGCTTTTCAAACAAGTACTTGGGTAATGTAAAACGATTTTTAACGAGGTATTATAGGTAGTTTTGAACGAGAGAGTATACAAAATTGTAACTAAAGAACGTTGAAGATAGAAAAACGCACTAAAACCTTGAATAATATTGCTCTTTAAAATCAATCACGTACCTCAAGTTCAAATAAAATATGAAATAATTCTTATTTATCCTGAACAGTATCTTCAAAAAATGAAAAATCGGAGATACCCGTAACAAAACAGAACCACCAAGCAATAAAGTTAAATTTAACAACCAAAAGGAAGCAAATTAATGGAACGACCGAAAAGAGGGCAGAGTTTTTCAAAGCCAGAGGCGAGGAAGAGGGTGCGAAGCTGAGGTACAAGCATGGTACAGGATTTTTCAGACTATCGGGCGCGTACACCGTGCGGTTAGAGGCTGCTATGCGGCACTATCGAGCATAAATTCGCTGATACGACGAGGCAGGGATTTTTCTCGTGGCGCGACGGAGAGGTTGGAGCTAGTTCAAAAGATTTAAGATAAAGCGCGCGTGGTGTAGGTGCGAGGCTCGATGCCGTTGCAGTTGCAGCTGCCGTTGCCGCAGAATCGCCGCAGGAGACGACGTGACCGGCGATTCGAGCCACCACCGAACCAGGCATCACGTTCGACCAGCGTCGAATTTTCTACGCTTCAGCCTGCTTACTAGACGTTTGTGGCACTCGAAGAAACACACTGGGGAAATAGGAATATTTCTTCGCTTTTCAATTCCTCCTACGTTTTTACGACTCTGTCGAGAGGAATAGTAAGAAGAGTCGAGTGAAAGGAATTAGTAATCAATGGATTGCGCATTTTTATTCGTTTATGGGAAATGTAAAGACATAAAAATGCACGGAAGGCTCGTAATGTGTAAAAAGAAAAAAAGTATATATATAGAGTTAAAAATATAGTAATTTTTACGATACATTATTACGATTAAACAACTATGTGTAACTTCAATACGATTTCTTTAGTCAAAAACTTCGTTCCCAGGACTGAAACTAATTTCACCATTTTTACTTTCAAAGTAACCAACAGTCAAAAACTTTCGATAACATTAAACGACGTCTTGCTCATCGTTCCTAGCAAATTATTAAATCCTCTAACCTAAACGGTCATTTAACGTTCAAGTTTTCCAATAACCACGTAATTTACGATCTCGAAACGCTTTTATCGACGATAAGATCATCGTGTCCGATCAGATTCTTCGTCGCATCGCCGCACCGCCACGAAATCGCAGCACAAGGTGCAATAAAACACCGGAAATTGCTCTTTACCGATGCGTCCCCTCTTTGTCCACAGAAAAACTCATTTGCCGTCGACTCGGTTTCACGAACATTAGTGGAGGGACATTTGCACGCCACCAACAGCCGATTTAATCAGAGAGTAAGATCAACGAAAACATCGTCGTTTTCTTTGGGTTCCACGAGCATGTTTCCGAGGGTAAAAAAAAAGCTACGCCACAATCTCGCGGGATGAAACGTCTCTTTTGTGCGCGATGTCCCGTCCGTTTATTCACGAAGCACGAAATAGAGGAGGGTAGAACGTTAGAAAAACTGTCCTAGATACGAGACACAGGTCGTGTATGAACATGGACGGACGTTCACGGTATTGAACAAAGCAGGAAGTCGGATTTTTTGTCCCGAAGGAAACGTTTTTTAGAGCGGCGCAATGTCACAGCCGCGGAAATTACATGGAGACGGAACGATCGATGTCTATTGAGAATTTTGGATACAAAAAAGATAGCTCACCTTCCAGATTTGCCATGGAGAACCTATAGCTATCGATTCTCGGCGTGTTGATGTCCGAGTTGAAAGGCCTGAGGGTCGCTGAGCTCACATTGTCCAGACCCTGCAACAGCAATTTATTCTAACATTAGTTATTTATTTATTTTAGTGTTGTTATTTATAGGCACTGTTGAATAAAGAAGTTTTAAAGACTTTCTGGTTTGAGAAAAAATACTTTGTATTCGATATTTCGTAATATATGTAATGTACGAGATATTAACGTTAAACAACGGTATACAGGTTGTACAATCGATCGATCAAACGACATGATACATTAGAAGTATAGGTATCGTTGAAACAGTAAAACGCCAGCAATTCTAATTAAAGAGACATCATCGAAAAATTCCCCACCAAACTTTCCCAAGCGTAATTAATTTCACAAAAAGAGCGTGGAAAGTTCTTTTCCAGCTATGTCCAAGTCACAGCCGTTGGCTGAACATACAGAAATAAATCATTTACCACCCTAGAAATGGTGTCGATAACGCAAGCACGTCCGACAAAGGAAACAACACGATGAGTCCTCTGTAACAGAAATAGAGGCGCAAACGCGAGCTGAATCCGTAGTTCCTCGCGGTCTACCGACGCTTCTTGCTGCAACACGATCGATCGATAATCCGCTCGAGATCCTTTTACGTTCCTAACTCGGCTGGGAATACGATTTACGTGAAACCGCGGAGTCGCTCACCCAATTTCCTACGGATAATCTCACATTGTTTCGCGATCAATTTCGAGAGATCGGTGAACGCGGCGAAATCTCAACGCGCGCTCCGAGGACGTTTCCGTAGGTCTAATTCGACGCTTTGGGGCGAAATAGGAATTGTTAGCAGCGAAGTACTGTCGAAGTTGCCGAGAAGGGTGGAAAAGGGAGAACTGGAAGACTTCCAGATATTCGATTGTTTTGCAGACGCGTGCATGCAATGATAACGACGAGACGGTGCTGTTTCTGTGTATCGTAGCCCGAAGGTGGCGAAACTTGCCTCTTAAAGGGATGTTTGCGCAGGAGAAGTTTGTGCTTCCGTTTCCAGCGGCCGTCGACGTCGAGCAACCAGAAATTTACTTTGGAATGCCATTCTATTTGAAAATTGTATGGTGGTTTGCAGTTTCTATAATGGAAATAACAATTGGATTGCGAATAATTGATATTCTGCCACTTAGAGCGCAGAATATTCCATTGTTCGGTAATAAGGAACATCTTAGCAATTCTGGACAATTTCCATGCGATCTACAACATCGCGACTGGGAGAAGATTTTGAAAAAGTGGCGTTTTCCGAGGAAGAGGTCCAGCCAGCGCTTCTCTCGCGGTGGCGCACAGCCAGCGGACTTCCGCGTTTTGAACCATTAACCGTAAATAATGCGAGAACCGAGTTGCCCGCTCGGCCGTGTATGTACATGCGGCGTTCTACGGCGGTTAATCAAGCAACAGCTCCACACGGTGAACACACAATGCCTTCGGCTTCGCCACGTACACATACACAACGTGAACACATACACACAAACACAGGAACGTAAAACGTTCCAGCGGATAGGAGAAAACTGGGCTCGTCGTGTGTACCTCGTGTACACGTTTCGCTACGCCTGATAGATCGCCTCTCTCCATCCCTCTCCTCTCTCCACGACCTGGCTCTCTCTAGCTGTGTGACCGGAGGGCACATAGGATCTCATGGGACGCTGTATCGGCGATTCTTCGATGGCTGAATAGCTGAAGCGACTGGAAACACGGGGTGACTTGTAAACGACAGGGTGAAACTGGCGTGGCATTGCTTAGAATGCTTGATGACACTTTACCAAGTGGATCGTAATTGGCGAGAGATCTTTCGAATCTGCTTGCAAATCAAATTACATCTTTCATCCTACGTGTCATTAGCGAATTACGAGCTTTCCGTTTCGTACGCTTTTACATCGTTCTTTGCATGAATGCCAGGGAATTATTTCCAACGGCGATTAATCGAAGAAGCTATATCGAACACCAAAAAATGTTTATCATAGAGAAAATACGAGACACACAAACTAACCGTTAAAAGAGAGAACTGTTCGTTTTCGAGTTCAGCGAGGTGCATCAAACCCAATAAATCGCTAGGGCTTACGTTCTCGAGAATATAGAGGGACGCGTGTTACAGCGATGGCTTCTCCCGTCGAGCTGGTAAACGCAATGTGGGTGTAAACGTGGTGAACGACCCGGTAACCACCATTCGGCCATCAGGCACAACAATTAGATTCGACCGGATAAGTCGACTCTTCCTGTAACGCGAAACTCGTGGACGGTTACGTTGGTCGTATCTCGCGTGGAGCATTGTCACGGATATTTAGCCGTGTTATTGACGTTCACGGGGTCAGATACCATGCTGCGATAGAGAAGAACGAATTTCTCCCAGGATTCCTACGTCGATTCCCTCGCTGAGAAGTTAATCGATCAGCGAGCGATGAGGTGAGCGCGCGTGGGAGTGAAACAACGGGAGAGCAAGGAAATCGCTCGATTGGGATCTTATCCACCGGTTAACGTCCTCGAAACAACCAAGGAATCAAGTTTCTGAACTATCACAACCAGAATGATACCGTATATTTCAAACGATAACGTTTGCGGTGATACTTGTTCGCCTAATTTATGCTGGTTTTGAAGTATCGTGTTCCTTTCTGGATTATCGGTTTATTCGTAGACGAGATGGTTTAGTATCTTGTTTCGAGAGAAATGAAACAACGTGTACAACGCTTAACAGGTTAAAGAACATCGACGATCCATTTCAATTCCTACTTTTTCTTTTTAGGCAAAAAAAAAAAAATGTCGAGCATCTCGACCTTAACACCACCGCGATCAACGTTAAACAAATCTATCTTTCGTAGTTGCAAATAATGAAAATGTCTCTAGCCGAAACGAACAGGTTTACGAGGCGAAAGCCTATAAACGACAAACGGAAGACGCAGGAAGCGTTCTCTAGAGGCCACGAAATATCCCCTCGAGACGTTCTCCGCCGATGATGAAATAATTTGTACGCGGCACGGGGTGCGCGCGACCTTACATTTTTCATGGCCACGGGGTCTCTTTCGGGCGACGGAACGCGAGTTGAAAAGAGCAGAAAGCTCGCACTCGGCCGAGTGTCGGTTTACCCGCGCAAAGTACGAGTTTACTCTCGACTCGAGTCGACTACGCTTTCTTGGCCTTTTACAACACTACCCTCTCGAGGACTCGTGCTTTTTCCCGACGAAAAAGCCAAAGGAGAGAAAGGCCGCTTGCCGCCAATTTATTCTCACTGAGAACCTTTCTTCGCCCGAGCTTTATCGCTCGGCGATAAAAACTCAACAGCCGAGGATCGAACTTTCCTCGATTCAACCGACGAACGATATCACGCGGGTTGTTTCTCTCGACTCGAGCGAGAAACTTTTCACGCTGAAACGATCTCTCAAAGAAACAGCTGTAACATCGTGCAAACAACGCGAGCAAACGACTGGAAAGAACGGTTAAAAAAGTTTCGAGAACACGCTTCCGACGATGGTTCGCGCAACTTGCTTCGGATCGTGCAGATTCCTTTTCTTTCTTTATTGCGTTGTGATTGCTGTTTCAAACTTGCATTGGCGCCGAATCTATCATTTTTCTCGTCGCAAGCAAATGTTTTTGCTTTCAATTAGCGTGATCAGCGATCGCGAATATTTATAAACTTACGAGAAATTTTTATGTTCGAAGATGTAAGACGGAAAAAACAATCTACATCCTAATATCTCTCATTACAAGCCTAATTTACGAAAAATGAAGATACCACTCTGTCAGTCGCTTTTAATTACCATCTGCCTCGGCGAGCATTAACGCAAAGACGAATGTCCATAGCCATTCGATTCGCTGGTATGATTAATCGACATGCACGCAGTCGATGGAAGCTATCGCGGATATTGCAGATGCCGCATTCATCACGACCGTAGAATATTTCGGCGCATCGACTGTCAAGCTTAAGTAAGAAACATGTTCCACGAGGACAGCCGTAAAATTGTCCGGAAATAAGTCTGTCACCCGTGTGCGAGAGCGAAACAACCCTCGAGGAAATGCAGGTGTCGTCTGTACGCGCCTGACGTGCCAACTTAATATTAAACATCTTCAACCACCCTTATTGATGCTTAAGACCAGAGAAGAAATGGGGTATCTACCCTTTGGAAGAATCTTTTATCCTTACTTTGGCCGACAACATAAGAAAGTTCGTAGGAGGTCGAAGTCGTATCTGGGAGATCGAAGAATTCTAAATTATCGCATTCAGCCGACTTAAGGTCGGATTAAGGGGTTGAAATAAGGAGGTATAGGAGTCACGTTACGGAGAAAGTCTGACGAACGACGTTAGGATTCGTTGCCACGAAGGGGAAAAAATACCATGAGTGTATTTAATCCTCTTCTTGGCTCAGGACACAGAGACACTGGGTTGCGCGAGAAAAATACGTGATTTGTCCCCGTCTGGAAGAATCCCCGAAGAAACTTCTCCCTTTTTGGCTGCCTCTGTTGGAACAGCATCTCGTGCCAATACGATGTTTCCCAACATTTCCTCGAACCCCGAAATTTACCGCAACGATATAAAGGTCGTTGTATCCAATTTCGTGGCGTTATTCCCGTTTGGGATATTTATGAGAATATTAAGGTACTAGTGGCGTTTGAGAGGGTAATGATATGAAAATCTGACGATAAAATATTCGAATTGGTCTAACGAAGCTTTAGCGATATTGAAATCGTCATGTACAATTTTATTCGTGCTTTCTATTACCGATACAATCTGAGAAGAGCAAATCGTACAGGTTTGATTTCTGTACCTATAAACTGAATGTTTCAAACCGACTCGAAGTTACATATTTCTTAAATAAGCACTTTTAACACGAAGTCCAACGAAAGAGTTAATCGATCTATTGGATACAAAGTTGCACGTTTTACGAACAGGAATCCGTATCTTCTGTCGGTGTTTCGTTCATTCAGGCCAACTTTCCGCGAGATGATCGCGCATTACACGTAACCTGATGTTTTAAATGCGGAAACCGGTTCGGAAAGCATAATCCTACGCGTTCACAGAGAGTATAGAGGAAATCGCTGGCGAGTTACAA